GTGGTCCGTCGGCAATACGTCCAGCACAGCTCTCCGCCCTCCATCACCACACGGTGGCAACGGCACACACCCGTCCACAGAAAAAAAAGCAGAAAAAAAGAAAACCACGGCGGCAGGGCGTGGCTGTGTGTGTGGCGCTGCGGGTGTCTGCCCGCCCTGGCCGCAAGAAAACAAAACAAGAGGGAAAGAAGTGTGTGCTCCGCCCCACAGGCCCTCGTCGCACGCCCACACGTCACGGCTCCCTCAGCGCGCCGTTCGTCGCGCCCCCTCCTCAGCGTGCAGCAGGCGAGGCGCACAGGGCCGTCGTCATGAGCGCGTCGGTGGTGTGCGAGTGGAGCAGTTGGGCGGAACACACGGCACCCCTCACAGGAAGAGTGCAGCAACAAACAAAACAAAAAGCCGAAGCGTGGGACGACCAGCGCACACACACTCTCATTACTCCCGTAAAGCAAAGCACACACACAGAGGGAGAGAGAGAGGTCGCCCACTCAATGCAATAAAAACAAAACAGAACAGTTACGGTGCTCCGCCCATGCAGCCAGGCAGGACGGCAGCGGTGCGTGTCGTGCAAAAGAGAGCACCAACGGGCCTGCATGGGTGTGCATGCATATATACAATGGGCACATTATGTGTGTGCCTCGTGGGGTGAGGTGAGGGCGAGAGTCCATGCAAGGGGACACACACACAGAGAGAGAAGGAAGAGTGTGTGTGCGGGCGGTGCATGGCTCTCTCACACTCACTCTCACGCGACCACCACCGCAGCAACAGCAGCACACGCAACAACAAGAAGAAGAAGCAAAAGAGGGGAGATGGCGTGGGAGACCGCGGTGCTGCCGTCATTGTCGCCAGACTTAGATGTATCATTCGTTTGAGCGGAGCCGAATGGTTTCTCTGTTTGTGGTGCAGTTTCATTTTCTGTAAGTGCATCGTTGGTATTACTGTCCTCGGGTTTTTCTTGTGGTTCTTTGCTGTTAGGCCGTTGAGCATCGCCCTCATCCTCACTCTCATTTTTCGGGGCGTCAATACCGCCACTTTTGGAGAATGATGATGCTGTTGTTTCCGCCGAACTGCCTGTATTTGCATTATTCATGAAATTCGATGAGTCTGTGTCCTTACCGTGTTGCTCTGTCACATCACCCTCTGAGGACAGTGTCGGTGCTGCGTCTGGCGTATTGGTGGTCGTATTTGGTTTTATTTCCGTAACGGCTTTTTTCCCATCCTCTCCAGCATTGACCGTACTTGGTCCCTGTAACACAGCAAGCTTTTCTTCTGAAATCTGATCCGTACCCTTCACCGTAACTGTTGAGTCTGATGTGGTGGGGGATTCTGGCTTTACTGTGGGTAATGATTCCTTACTTGCCTGATTGCTGAGCGGTGGAGTCCCTGCAGGCGTTTTTGTTTTTAAATGTACAAGTTTTTCTGAAGAATTATGCTTCTTAGTGGATGACGTGACCTCGGGGAGACGTGAAGCATCAGTCTCGGGGGCTGAGGGAGGCGGAGAAGCAACAGCAACGCGGGTATCAGGAGGCACCACAGCCGAATTTCCGAGTTCGCCGTCAATAACTTTACTGCCATCCACAGCTCCACTTCCGACAGGACTGCCAAGACCAGAATCAGGGCCATCACCTGAAGGTGAATCCAAAACAGTGTCGGTTTCAGAATCCTCTTGCTCAGTCGAGGCCTCAGCAGCAACAACAGAAAAGACAGAACGCAAAGCCGTCATGGGCACAGTTTTATTACATCCGCTCGGCGTGTAAGACCAATTCGTACCCAACACTCCCGACACCATGCAGCCTCCCCGTGCACCGTCCTCAACGCCACTCGCATAAACGCCGCTGGCTGCAATTCTAGAAGAACCGCACCACAGCACGCAGAGGGCACACACCAGCAGCACACGGCCAGTCATAATCACCGCCATCACTCCTGTCACTTGCGCGTAGCCTTCAGCACAAACTAACAACACGTCAACGCAGAGTGAAAGGAGAGACAAGTCACATAACCACGCACCGTGACAAACGGCAGCAGACCAGCAACAGCAGCGCACACACCATTAAACAAATGAATCCGGTACAAATCTAAAACTCGCACATCGCCCTGCAAAAAAATTTTAAAATGAAAAAAAGATATTATAGAAAAATACAAGACTGCGTTGTGTGCGTGCCATGCATATGAGTGTGTCTGGGACGCGCTCAACGTGACGGATTTGGGAAGCAACGCGGAGCACACAGCAGGGCAGCGGAAGCAAACAAAGCAAAAACTATCATCATAATCACTCTTACTTCATACATCGGACCACAGTAGACGTACACATGTCCCCGTGGCTGAGTGCTGGCACGCACAGCCCACGCTCCCTTTCAGCCCACAGCGGTGTACGCCAGCGCGGATGCGGCGAGCAGCAGCGGGGCACACACCCACGCAGAGCTGCTGAGGCTGCCGTCGATTTCGCGAAGACGTGACGGTGCGCGGGTGGTCGTCGTGGTTGGCGTCTCCGTAGTCGTAGTGGTATTTGGTGCCTGTGGTGCAGCGGTCGTGGTGGTCGTAGTTGGCGCATTTGTGGTTGTGGTCGTCGTATTTGGTTTTATTTCCATATCCGCATTGTTTTCAACCTGTCCCGTAATGACTGCATCTGATAACCGTAACGAACCGGGCTCTTCTTCTGAAACTTCTTCCGTAGTGTCCGCCGGACTTGTTGATCCTGGCTTAGTGGGCGTACTCGATGACAATGCGGTAACGGTCCCTTTGTTTACATTTTCTTTAGGGGTTATATTCGTCTCAGTATTAGTATGTCCATCATTCGATGTCACGCACACGGACGGGCAGCAGCACAGGGCGAGCACCAACAGGGCGCACAGCAGACGGCACGTCATCATCGCGAGTGTGGTCGTTCAGTGGTGTGGAGCTGATTTGCACAGTGAGGAGCATGGAGAGCAACAGGGGAGACGAGAGGTGCGGCAGACACACACAGAGGGCACACCACATGAGGAGAGGGCAGCAGCCAGGCATGCACCGTACGCCGCACACCACGCACGACACACACTCCAATCCACGGCAGCAGGCACACACACACAGCCCTGCCGCAACACACACACAGATGGAAGAGGAGAAGCAAACAGGAGCGGCACACAAGACTCCACCGCATTTACATACGGCGAGAGCGGTCCGTCGTGCCTGCGCCCCTCACGGAGGGTACGCACAAACAGGAAAGAAGTTGCAGCGCACACAGCATCACAAAAGCAAGGTAACAATAATAAAAAAGCGAGAACGCCGCACACCACGCGAATTGTTGGTCCACGGGAAGTGCAGAAAATATTCATCACAAAAATAATTCGTTTCTGTTTCCTTTTGATTGTGTGTTGTGAAAATAATTACTGAGGAGCGCAAGAGAAGCCCGTACAAAAACGGCAATTGTTCTGTCGCGAACGGGCGTTCGCGCATGCCGGGGCGGCCCACACAGTCGCAGTCCCTATTCCCAACGACGCGAGCATTCCCGCAGTAGGTAACGCGGAGTGTCCCGTGGTCCGTCGTGGGATCAGCAGCCCATGGCGTCTGCGACGAAGCGGTGGCGGAAGGGCTTGGCCCATCCTGCGCGCCCGCGTTTTTGCTTCCTGCGCGCGAGGCGATTGCCAGTAAGACGGTGGAGCCATTGCGGCAGCCGCATTTGAGGCCTTGTCAACTATCGGAACGCCAGGCGGAGCATGTCGGGCATTTGTGCCCTCCATGTTGTGGACGGACGAGTGCGCTCTGCCGAAGATTGTGCAGGAGGACATCAATCCGCCGCTCGCTTGTCGGCAAGGAGTTGCGGTGCTCACGTCAGGAAGAGGTTCCGGCGGAGGCAGAGGCGGGCCGGTCTCCTCGGTGAGGGAGGGACGGCACCACCGACACAGGGAGCTACTTGTGATCCGCAGGGCGCGTGCAGGCCTGTCGAAGAGTGGGCGGGAGTCGCATCACGCCTGAGCACAGTGCCGCCACTCGGGGCACGATTTCCGGGTCGACACCAGGAATGGAGTTCTCGCCACACCGACAAGCGCCTGTTGTGCGGTGTGCGCCTTCCTTTTCCTCCTGGACATCCTTCCAGTATAGCCTCATGACGGCCGTAAGGAATTCCACGTGCCAGAGTGGGATGCCTCTTGCGGGAGAGATCGTGCAATCGTGGCTTCTTCGTCACCGGCCTCATTGCGTGGGATACCGCAGTGTGACGGGGAAAATATAAATTCTACAGAGTGACCTCGCTTCACCAAGGAAGGCAGGTTGATCCAAATCTCTTCAGTGGCACAGTCTCGCATGGCGTATGGGACGACGCGGAGTGCCTCAATTGCCGGCAGGGAGTCCGTCGCCACCAAGATTCGTGTGGGCGATTGGGATGTGTCCAGACGAGGAGGTACGAGATGTCTAAGGCCAATTTCAATGGCAATGCACTCTGCACTATATGAGCGTGCGAGCCTGCCAGCTGCTGCACGATGGACCTCCACAGGGAGATCATTTGCCGTGGTGGGGCCGTATAAAAGTGCGGCGTGTCCAGATGCGAGTTCAGCGAGGAATGAAGAACCGTCCGCCCATAATTCAAAATCGTAATCTCCTAGAGATGAGTAAAGTGAACCAAAATCCGTGCGCTTGACATCGTCAGAGACGCCTTGAGCAAAAATTGGCTGATAAAATCCCACTTTGTTGCAGCTCACAGTGTCCCAGGGAATAATTCTACGTTGGGTAAGAGGAAGAGCACGAAGGTGGTTGCGGGGTATCCCAATAATTACAGACGCGTTGTAATTCATTAATAACGGCATCTTTCGGAAGCGGAATTGATGTCGCCGCTTTCCCATGCATGGATGGCGGCATAGTTTCCGAGTGGGTAAGGGAACGCAAATCCTCATAATCATGGAGGCGTATATGGCTTTCGTATTGTGTGAGTGCAAGAAGCCAGAGTATCTTTTGGAGCGGGAGAAGATTGGCTTCCAAGTAGACAGATGTATCTTCCGTTGATGCGCTAAGGCCAAGGGATGTTTTACAGCTGTCGCGGTACCGCACTTCCATATTATGGAGGTAGGTGGGGGCAAGGCATGGGACAAGTGTCTCGCCACAATACAGTGACACACCGTGGACGTATCCAATTAAAAAGGATCGCATGGTGTGATGGGACGCACCAGCCCGTGCGACCAGCCGCAGTTGATAGCAGTGTGGCATGATCTGCTTTGTAGCGGTGGAAGCGTGCGTAATCAAAATTAGGAAGTCGATCAATCGTGGTGCCCAGCAAGCGCACTGGGCATGACTGAATACGTAGGTTCCCATTGCCAAGAAGGAGATCGACCATTTCCTCGTCAGACCGTGTGTGTGAAGATATGTAGAATGCAGCAGCTTCGCTCTTATCGACGTTGATTTTTGGGCTGTGCTCGGCAGCCCATGTCGTTGTAAGTGACAGGGAAGGTTGCATCGCCGCAGCACATGCATGGATGTCCGCACCTGAGGCAACAAGTGCGAGGTCGTCAGCGTGCATGAGTGCGGGGGCAGAATAGATGTTGCCCATGCGGTGCAGCAGATCATCCACACAGTAGAAAAAGAGTTGGGGTCCCAGGACGCTGCCTTGTGGTACTCCGGCTGGGGTGAGTTGTTTCCGGGAGTGCTGTTCGCGACTGCATACCCTAACATAGCGGCCCCGCAGGCTGTTATTCAACCAGCGTTTGGTTCGTGGGCCAAGGCGCGGGAGTCTGTCGAGCATGCCGAATAATTCCCCATGGTCAATGGTGTCTACCGCAGTCGAAAAATCAATCGAAGCCACGAGCGAGCGATGGTGAGGATTTTTTGTGTGGGGCGCCGCCTCCAGGGCGTTCATACTCCACAGTGCCAAACTCATTAAATCCACGGGAAATTTTATCGGTGACAGGTGTCACCACGTCCAAAGTAGAACGCGAAGGTGCAAATCCAAATTGACGTGGGTGGTGCGGCAATAACGCTGACAGACGGCGGTGAGTCATTCCTTCGATTAACTTTGGTAAAACAGAGAGTAGCGTGATAGGTCTGTAGCTCCCTGGGCGGCATGGATCCTTCCCAGGGTTGGAAATGCGAATATTGTCCTCAATTTTCCAGGAGCCAGGCAGGCTGCCATTTGCGAAGGAGTTGTGGATCATCGTTCTAAGAGTGCCGCGCGCAACATAACGGAGGCGGTGCAGGAATTCATTCAACATGCTGTTGGGGCCAGGGACTGAGCCGAGCGAGGAGTCACGGATGGCCACGCCAAGTTCACACGGCATGAAAGGCCGATCCATTTCCCAGTCACCAGGAGGCAAAGGAGTGCGGCAAGCAGCAGCAGCAGTATAAGGTTAAAGTGAGACGTGAGACTCGCAAAAAATGACAGACGAGCGGGTCTCCCTGCAGCCGAGACAGGGCGCAGTCCGAAGATCAGTGCGGAGCACAACCGATTGCGGAGGATGAGGGTGCGGCGCCGCCATGGCGCGAGGATATCGCCAGCTTGGGATGGATGGGGCTCCAACTTTTTCCACACGAGATTCAAAAAGTGTAATGAAGCCACGGCGTAAGGCTTCATTTTCTTCTCCCCCTTTTTTGGATGAATTCGGCTCGAAGTAGGCTGTCTCCGGGCGAGGCAATGTGTGTGCTTTGTGTGCTGCTTCTGCGGCGACCCCGGCTTGCACCATTTCGTGTGTCCATATTCGTTTTGGGGCCTTCACGGCTGCCGCGCGGGGTATGGCGCTCAGCTGCTCGTACGATGCCTCTGCGGATGTCCAACCATGTGGACACGGTGGCAAGGAGGGTTTTGCACAACGAGGTGAAAGCAGGCCAATCCGCTTTGCGCAGGGCAAAGGTGGCTTTCTTCCGTCGAGGCGGCGTATTTGCTAGTCGCGGGATGCCATCATCCATCCCTACCAAGTAAGATATCAAGCAGTGGTTCGAATCGATGTAGGGGTGGATTTCCAGTGGGTGACACGTAGTGCGCGATACGCAGTCACGTCAGGGGACGAGACATTACGATGTGTGATCCGTGTTGCCTGTTCCGGGTCATTTGCCGGCTCAAAATCCAAATCAATTAAAACAGCAGCAAAGTCCTCTCCTCCAGTCGTTGGTGGTGTATGGCTGTCCCGAAGCTCATGATGTCAATTCAATTCACCCGCAATAATCGCAGCAAGGAATGAGCGACAAATGATACTAATAAATGCGGATTCTTGAACAGTTGCTGTGGGAGGGTTGTAGAGATTCACCACGCACATGCTGGAACAGCTGGGTGGAAATACACGGACAGCAGTGGTCTCCAGGAGGTCAGTGCCGAGGAGCGACAGGCGCTCGCACGGCAGAGAGTGACGCACCAGAATGGCAACGCCACCACTGCGCCCAGTGCAGGCCTGAAGAAACTCATTGCAGGCAGAAACTTTTGTCGCCACGTCGCTACGGTCATTTATTTCCTGGAGAAGAAAGATGTCAGTTTGATGCCGCTCCAATCGCGCAGCAAATGCAATCGTTTTTGCGGACGAGAGGCCTGCAATGTTAAGCTGCCAAACAGTGATGCAGCCACCCTCCTCGGTGCCACGGTTCGTGTGGACGTCATCGCAGCGTGTGATATCAACGGCGTGACCGCAGCGAAACGGCCGTGCAGTTTTGTCCGACAGTCCGCAGGCAGACCGTCTCACCTCCCCGCACCGGGAATGGCGTGGAACCCTCTCGAGGGGTGGAGTCGTCTTGGTCTCCGTCGTGCTCGCAGCAACGCCCTGCTGCGGAGTTCCTACATGCAGCCAGAGCCCCAGCACCGCGACAAGGTGTGCACCCCATCGCTGGGGCCGGGAGAAGCCGCAGTGCCTCCTGCTGTCATCAGGGATCCTCGTTGACGTCTTGATGCGGACAAGCACCCATCGGTTCTTACAAACGACGCCGTACACCTGCGGCACTTCCTGCGCTGTGAGAGGCACGACCCTCACCACTACCGGAGTCGTCCACGCGCCGTCGGTACGCACCGCATCGTCAATGAAAAAAGCAGGGATGCGTCAGGGTGACAGCAACGCATCCGCTAGCAATCACTTCGCACGCACCACCACAAGCAGCACCACCAGCGCTGCAAGCCACGGGTTAACGTGGACCAACTGACGCATGGCGTATGCCGAAGGAAAAGCTTAGTGGCATGAAAAGGACAAAAGAGGCTGACACTTCGAAACAAAAAAAAACGGTAAAGAACTATAAAAAAGTAAGATTAAGGTGTCCACAGTCAAAGCATGCCGCCAACCAAAAAAAAGTGGAATGGGTGCACTCAACCACAAAATCAAAAAGAAAAACAAAACAAAAAGCCGAAGCGTGGGACGACCAGCGCACACACACCCTCATTGCTCCCGTAAAGCAAAACACACACACAGAGGGAGAGAGAGAGAGGTCGCCCACTCAATGCAATAAAAACAAAACAGAAACAGTTACGGTGCTCCGCCCATGCAGCCAGGCAGGACGGCAGCGGTGCGTGTCGTGCAAAAGAGAGCACCAACGGGCCTGCATGGGTGTGCATGCATATATACAATGGGCACATTATTGTGTGTGCCTCGTGGGGTGAGGTGAGGGCGAGAGTCCATGCAAGGGGACACACACACAGAGAGAGAAGGAAGAGTGTGTATGCGGGCGGTGCGTGGCTCTCTCACACTCACTCTCACGCGGCCACCACCGCAGCAGCAGCCGCACACGCAACAACAACAAGAAGAAGAAGCAAAAGAGGGGAGGTGGTGTGGGAGACCGCGGTGCTGCCGTCACTGTCGCCAGTTGGAGCCGTTTCATTTATCATAGCGGCAGATCTGAGCGGTGTTGTTTCCTTCGTATTGTCTTCTTTATTTTCACCTTGGTGTGCTCCTTCTGTCGCTGCACCACCAGCGGCTGAATCATTATTCAAAATCTCTTCATTAGTATCCGTGTCAGCGTCATCGTTGGAAGCATTACTGGCACCTGAGTTTGATGGTGGTGTCGATTCGGCATGGCTGTTCGATGGGTCACTCTCTTGGTTGCCGGTGGTGGATGCAAGGCCTTCTTTTCGCAGATTGCTTGTTACCTCCTTGTCTTCCAGGAGAACTTCTGTTTTTTTGACGGAAACGCCATTCTCAAGGCTGTCTTTTTCATTATTTGTTGTTGCCTTTAAATCTACTTCGTGTTTTTCATTTTTTGCAAGTGGCGATGGGGGTGCTTCTGGAGCTTCCCCTTTTTCCCTTGACATTTTTGCTGCCAATCCGTCTGCTGGATTTTTGCCTCCTTGTGGCTGGTCGGAATGATCCTCAGGAAGGACTCTTTCTTTTCCTGGTATCGCAGTTAAATCTTCTGGTGAGTTTCCATTTTGTGCTGTTGACGTTACACCTGTTGATGCTGGTGGAGTTTCTTCAGCTGCTAGCGGAGCCGTTTCTCCTTCATCTTCTGACATCGATTTTAATTGTGATATCTTTTCATCTTCCTTTGGAATTACAGTATTTTCTGTTTGTTCTGCAACCACTTTTTCTTCTTTACTTTTTTCTTTTTCTCTTTCTTCCTCCTTTCTGTCAGGGTTTGTTGGTGGTGTTACGACAACTCCATTCAGCTGCTTAGGATCCCTTCCATCTCCTACACCCAACGATTTAATTACGGTGTCGGACTCTGGCGGGAATGGAACTTCTGTTTCCCCTTGACCTCCTCTACCGTCTGGATCTCCAGATACATGCTGTGAACCCCCGGATCCTTCTACACCTTGCATTTCGGCGCCACCATCGCACATGACCGCAGCGGCACCGCACCACAGCACGCAGAGGGCACACACCAGCAGCACACGGCCAGCCATCATCATCGCCATCACTCCTGTCACTTGCGTGCAGCCCTCACTACAAAATAACAACACGTCAACGCAGAGTCAAAAACAAAAAGGAGAGACAAGTCACACAGCCACGCACCGTCCCATCCAGCAATGAGAGTCACGCACCACCGCAACAATTGGGTGGGCGCGGTTAACAAAAATAATAATAGGAGAGGAGCGCTCCTCGACGTGCACCGTTCCTCACACCCCCACAGTCACTGTTGCTGTTATTCCCTCTCCTCAGGCCCTCACAGGCACGCCACGCTCACTTCAACACGCGCCCCTCCAGCACACGCAGTCCGTCATGCGCTTCCGCTGCGCCGCAACGTACGCCACCACCTCCTCCCTCAGTCAAACAGCTCCGTGTCCTCCACGTCCCTCACAATCGCCGGCATGCCACGGCCGCGCAACACACACAGCGCAACAACGTCGTGCCGCCTCTCCTCCACAATCATGAGCGCAGCACCAACAAGTACTGGCGCACGTGCTCCATGCGCTGCAACCACACGCGGATCAGGTTGGCCGTCATGCGCTGCAGCTTGTCGTCCTAATTGTGCTTGTAGCGGCAACACAACGTCGTGTAGCCGGCGGCGTCGCAGTGCCGGAAGAAGTACGGCGCAGCAACCGTGCGGGTGTCCGTGTTGCTGCGCTCGCACCCCAACGCTTCCAGCAACAAGAGGCTCGGTGGCGGCTCTTCCGGCGGCTTCGTCTCCTCCCTCGGCGCCCTGTCTTCCTCCTCCTCCGCTGCACAAAAACCGCTGTCGTAGACCACGCTCCCGACTTATTCACTCCCACACAGAGAGAAAAGAAACTGTGTGTGGATGTGTGCCGAGAGCACAGCGACTGTCATCATAAGAGGAGGCTATCGTGGCACCGTCCGCCACGCGTCAGCACACACCGAGCAACGCACGCACCCGGCAGAGCAAATAAATAGGGGAGAGAAGAATGACCCCAAGAGCAGGCAGCACCCTCACGCATGGCGGGCATCGTGCAGCCGCGTCAGACGACATCCAACCAAATGAAAAGGAGGCGTCCCACACGCATCCATACAACGGCCCCGTGATCCCACCGTAGGCAGACGCGCGGCGACCTCGCCATTTCAGCACGGGATACGCAATTCGACGCCCCGCCGTCGCCAAGAGCATTCCTGCAGAGCACTGTGCAAATGCTTGTGTGTGTGTGTGCTGAGAAAAAAGAAAAGGAAACACATCAGCACAGCAAGAGGCACAGCTGGATGGCAGCGATACATGCGGTACGGCCAGACCTCAACAACCACGCACGGTGGCAGCACACACCATCCAAAAAGAAAAAACAAAAAAAAACACGGCGGCAGGGCGTGGCTGTGTGTGTGGCGCTGCGGGTGTCTGCCCGCCCTGGCCGCAAGAAAACAAAACAAGAGGAAAGAAATGTGTGCTCCGCCCCACAGGCCCTCGTCGCACGCCCACACGTCACGGCTCCCTCAGCGCGCCGTTCGTCGCGGCCCCTCCTCATGCGTGCAGCAGGCGAGGCGCACAGGGCCGTCGTCGTGAGCGTGTCGGTGGTGTGCGAGTGGAGCAGTTGGGCGGAAACACACGGCACCCCTCACAGGAAGAGTGCAGCAAGAAACAAAACAATTAAAGAGGGAAGAGTAAAAAGAAAAAAACGTCCATAGTGATTGCCCCAAAGCAAAAAAAAAAAAAAGAGGGATGAGGGGACTGAGAGATAAAAAAAGATGATATTTTTTAAAAATAAAAAAGCATAAAAAAAAAAAAAAAACAAAGAAGGCTTCAAGAATTATAAATTACGAACAGCGAAAAAAAAGAAATTTAGTTTAGAAAATAATTTAGTTCTTTGAAGTGAATTTTTGCAGCGGAGGTCGCAATTGTTTTCATGCAGCAGCCAGTCACTCCTCACAGAGCCGCAAACCCCCACAGTCCAAACAGAAGGAGCAGCGATGGCGGCAGTACGCTCCCACGCACAGTGCCAGCATCACCCGTTGTTTCTCCAACTGCATGGGAGTTCGAATCCACGGTAAAGTGCTCAGTGTTGGCAGATTCCACCACCGTTGCATTTTGCCCTGCATTACTTTCTTGTTGAGGCTGCTGCAAGGTCGCTTGAGCCACTGGAGCTTCAGAAGTTTTGCCTGCAATGGACGCTTCTGCGGTGGACGCTGCTGCACGTGGTTCCTCTTCGTGGGGTTCCTCTGCAGTGGACGCTTGTGCTTTAATTTCCTCTCGAGGCTGCTGCAATGCCGCTTGCACCCGTGGAGAAGGCATTTCTGTGTGAGGTTGGCCTGGGGAAGACGCTTCTGCATGAGTTTCTTCTGCAGGAGGCAACGCCGGAGCAGCCACAGACTCTTCTACTTGCTCCTCTTGCTCTTCTCCTTTGTCATCCTCCAACACACTCGGAATTACAAGACTGCTGCCGTTGGCGGCAATGGTGCAGACCTCAACGTACTTCGGGCACTTGATCTTTCCGTCTTGCTGAAAATCTTCCAACGTCACTGGGATTTCAGTGCCCTCAGGGCATTCATGCCAATCATCGGTGCTGCCGAGGTACTTCACCTTCACTGTGCCCTCTGCACACGACACCTGCGCGCACACTCCCTTGACGTTTTTATGTTTACCGCCATCATTTTTCGACTGTAATTCCGCATCCAGGCACCACGAGTCACCGCCAGTCAGCGACCCAGGGAGAGAA